CTAAGATCAAAGTGTTTAAGGCATGTATTGAAACAATTCTTTTGTATGGGTCAGAATCATGGGTCATGAATATGTCACATTCTGAAAACTAAACGGAACATACACGAAGATGTTGCGAGTGGTTTTCAATACACCATGGTGGAAACATACTACTAATGAACAGTTATACGGTTCGCTACCAAAATGTAACTTCAGTAGTCAAATGTCGACGACTAAGCTTGGCCGGTCATGTAATACGTAGTGAAGAACCAGCCAGTAGGCTTCTACTCTGGAACCCTGATACCTGTAAGAGAAGAGTTGGACGCCCAAACATAACAGTTAAGAAACTTATTGAAACTGAAACTGGCTTGGAGGGACATGAACTTTTCTCAATGATGTATGACAGACAGTTGTGGCGAACTAACTTTGTATGCTCCACCTCTACGGAGGATGAATGATGATGATGATGATGATGATGAGGACCTCATTTGAATAAGTTATGTTTAATGATGTTCACCTTTACTTAACTTTCAAATACCCCAAGTATGAAATTCCAGGCAGTTACCATTATGGAATTATAACATTTTCTCATTGATTATGCAAATCCAGTGTTAATTTACATAATCAATATCAATGTGTTTCTCTTGTTCTCAATTACATATATCACAAGCTTAAATAGCCCTATAATGTAATGCAGCTGATTTATAGAATTTCCTCATAAGTTATGCAAATTACATCCAGATTTGCATAATTGTCACATTATTTTGTCAAGCGTCACATAAGCTACGTACATACCAAAAATCATGACGATCCGCCAACCGGTTCTTGAGTTATCCTCTTTTGAATATTTTTAAAGAAATGCCCCTGCAGTTCCAGAGCCAGCCGCCAGGGGGCCAAACCTACGTCAATTTTTCCCTGGAGCACAAGAGCTACCTACCATCCAAATTTCGTTACCCTAGCACGTCATGAGATATCAAAACCGGAGGTTCAGCTGCAGTACCACAACAAGCCGCCAGGGGGCCCAAAATCTAATCATTTTGAGGTCTCATCAAGACCTACCCACCTACCAAGTATCAAGACAATCCATTCAAGCCTTCTCAAGTTATCGTGTCCACAGACAGACAGACAGACCGACACACACACAAACGCCTCTGAAAACATAACCTTGGCGAAGGTAAAATGATTGTATATTGTGTATTACGTCAAAGCAGACGTAATTCCTTTCTTGCTGCTTCAATATGAATAATGATAATTAGAATATTATATATCATATTATTGTCTTTTGTCATATAAGACCATATGACACGAAAATTAATTTTCTGATTATATTCAACATTACAACAACAAATTATGATAGTACAGTGTTTGCACCAAATATTGTTATCTTCTTGTATTATTGAATCTCAAAATTTCTTTAAACTCAAAGTTATGTGTCTCATGTCACTTTGAATGCTGTGACCAGCTCTTTTGAAAAGTTGTAAAAGAATACATATAAATGTGTTAAGAGTAGTATCTTGTGATTATACATTGTATATTATCTACAACCACTGTTTGCTTAGAACTAAAATGAACACGTTTTAGTCTTGGTGTCATACGTATGAGCATCAATTATATGCAGTACACGTACATGCCAATTTTGTAAGTTACTTGTGGGATTATGGATTTTGCCGCAAATGCTCAAAACTCCAAGTGATACATGTAGATCATTTACAAGTGCAAAGCTTAGTTCTTATTAAGGGAGGATGTAAAAATAGAACAGAACACTCGCAATATTACCTGTTATGTTGAAATAAATTGCCCAATAGAGACCATATAATTCATTAATTTATTATTTAAGTTACTTACAGTGACAATTTGAAGTACATAGTTTATTACCTACTCTATTGAATCTTCTCATATACACATGAATTAGATGAATATGAATTGCTTTACTTATACATATATTTTTATTATAGAACTATTTGTCAAGTGTAAGGGCTTATCATCAATTCTGTATGTGACATCTGTATACATTAATTTTTTTTACTTCTTTCGTTTTATTGATTTTCAAAATTATAACAAAAGGAAAGCATGGCACAACATACAAAATAAGTGACGCAAACGCGTAACTACAAATTAAATATAAAACCAGGAGACAATAAAAATAGCAAAATTAATGAGAACCCCCAGAAAAAATTAATGAGAGCCTCCACATTAATTTTTGACTGCACAATGCTGTAATAGCATATTTATTAAGTGGTTACTATTTATTTCCCATGTTCCTTTGCTCAGTCTTGCTGTGATCTCCAACAACCTGGTGCTGGCTGTCAATCAAGAATACGTCGCCCCCGGCAACGACCTCTTGACCCTCCAGCCTGGAGATGAGGTGGCAGTGATCCCACCAATCAGTGGAGGGTGATTCAAGTGCAACATTAACGAGGTAAGGCCTTGGAAAAAATGTTGTGTTTCCTGTTTCAGTCCTGAAAAAATAAGGGTCTTGGGTAGGGATTTTCTTTTTTTTTCTTTTCTTTTCTTTTCTTAATCTCTACTGATCCAACATACAATGCGGTTTAACAATGAAAGTAAAACTTGCATGAAGGCCTGCATGCCCTTTTTCGTTAACCGTTATGGGCTATTTTAATTCACCGTTAATTGTTGCCAGCCTGCTCTAATTCAACGTTAAGCGTTATCGGTATATTCCTCGTGAAGCGTTATTGGTCCTTTTAATTCTTCGTAAAACGTTGTCATCCTAAATTCAGCGTTAAGCGTTACTGAATAATTCTTCGTTACGCATAGACCTGCGTACTAGTAGTCAAACCTGAAGAAGCGGTCGTCACTTTGCGCCTCAAAATGCAGGAGAATGCGTTATATAATGCAAAATTTCTCGGGGGAGCATGCCCCCGGACCCCCCTACATTGCTCGCGCCTGCTGCGCTCGGTCCCCCTCTTCAAGCATTTGTGAGGGCACTCGGGGTCCAAGGCAGGCGTGAAACACAGAGGACACTGGTGTGAACACACTTCGTTACATACATTTCGTCAGCGATCACTATTTCTCACCAATTCAGATACTGAATATAGTGGAGTTCTAAAAAAATGCGTTTCAATTTACCGTTAACCGTTACTAGGACACCGCCATGCAGACCCTCTTGCATATGATCAGGACACTTACATTTTCAATGTTGGAAAATTGATTGTGCATTCCATTCTCTCAATTGTCAGATCATGGAGCTGGAAAGGTCAATCAGCTCGGAAAATTTATGTCCCTTGCAAAAGTCTAGGGTCGGCATTTTTTTCTAGGGTCAGTCGGAAAACAAGAAACACAACATTTTTTCCTAGGCCTAACAACATTTACAGTCATATATTGTTTCAGCTGTTAGTTTGACGCTTGGATCAGGATATTTTTTTCTTTTATCACATCTTCTATGTCTGAACTGAATAAGAAATGCTACATTTGCAGCCATCACATACTTCAACAAGCTTACAAATGTAGTCATACATGTATCTGCAGTGGTACAAAATGTAGTACAGATTTAGAATGTTGCCCTACACTATGGAGTTTTGCCAATGATGGGTTTTGGAATACTATTAGTCTGTGAACACTTCCAATTTCAATTTCAAAACATTTCTGGGAGAATGAAATCATGCACAATGATTGTACATACTTCTGATTTACTGTAAAGTGTAGAATTTTTGTGATGTTTTCTCTTTGCAGTTTTTGTGGTGACTTGTCCAGTCTTCATACCAGGAACTTAGCAAACTTGATCATATTTAATAAATGAATTTACATGAAAATTTATGACTTACTTGCACTGTGTCATGACATTGTACACTACATCAGTCTGTATACGCTAAATACTGTACATGTACATTACATGCTTGGCAATACAGTTATGCCTTATGATATTGTAACAATGTGTATTGTTAGTTTTATTAAGCGAACACGTGCCAGCGCACGTGCCAGCGCCGTGTTCGAACAGGTGATCTACAATGTATACCGGTACCGTTCGAGGGAAGGGGCTCTAGAACCGGCCGGTTACAGATTGAATAAACCAGTTGAGTTAAGCGTTCACCGTGACTGGTTGTCTATCTTTACAATATCATGCACAGTTGTTATTTCAACATATACTGTCATCACAGTCATTTTTCCTTACAATGTATTTAATTTACTAATTCAATGTATTCTGACCACGCAACTCCCACAGAGACATGTCTAGAGTACAAGGGACAGACCACATCAAACTGACCACTGACCAGCTCAGTGTGGAGGAACTGACCACCCTGGTGACCTCACCAACCTCAGGAGCCATCTCTGTTTTCATTGGTAAGACGACATGTTCACTGCATGCATGTACACAATGTATACCATACAAGATTTAGTGTTGTTTGTTGAATCAAGGAGCTTGGTTGTACATCATACTGTACATTAACTGTACATCATACTACATATACCTTGTACATTTTTATGTGCTCAATTTTTAATGTTTCTTGAATGTACCTTTAGGTAATACATGTATTGGTTAGGTCTATAACATTCTTCCATGTACCATTTACAATTCGAAATATATTGTACATTTTGTTGATAGTACTTATGTGTGCCTTTCAGTATACTATGTTAAGTTTTGATTGTTTTGTTATATTTGTGTATCAAAATGTGCTAGCATCTGAGACTTGAAAGTATTTCAAAGAAAATGTTCTTTGATTGTGAAACCCGCATTCCTGTCTTGTGAAATCAGTAATTGACAACTAGTTTCAACTGTTAAGATGTCATTCAGTTGAATGACATCTTGTCCTTGAATAGCCTGGGTGCCATCCCCAGTAGTATATTCGCCAGCTCTATAACTGGGTCTGGACTTGATGACATATGAAACGTCTGGTGATGACGTCACGTAATGAGCTAGTCCGAGCAGCGGGTCTTCATTTGATTGGCTGAGCCTCAGAGGCGACGGCCAATGGCGCGCCTGTATTATTCAAGTGATGTTTGTTGTTTTGTAAACACAGATCTTCGCGCGAGTGTTCCTTTTCTCGGTGCATTCTACTTTTGCGAGGTCAACATCAAGCTCCGAGAGCTGAGCGGCGTGTGCGCCAGCCATGTTGATGATCGATCGCGGAAAGTACACTGACTATATCAAGCGCGCTTTAGCGTTCGGCGTCGGACATGTTGATGATAATAAGATAAGAATAACGATCTATCTTAACGTAGCCGTTCGGACGTTCGAACGGACGCTAACGTCCCTGTTCGGACGTCCGAACGGCCCTTACCTAATATGTACACACCCAAAAAAGGGCTTAGACGAGTAGGACCAATCAGCGCGCTCGTTCAAAATCTGAACGAATATTCAGACTACAGACGCTACATATGTCATCAAGTCCAGACCCAGTTATAGAGCTGGCGAATATACTACTGGGGATGGCACCCAGGCTAGTCCTTGAATGCTTCCTGAGGAAAAGAATTAACAGGAGGTCAACATAAATGACTCAGGAGTGGTTGGTCATTTATTCTGATGAACACCTCAATGATAGTACAATTTACATTTAATGCAATGTTGTTTTGTCAGAACAAGGTATGATACATGTAGTATCGATCATAAAATAATAGAAAAATGATGAAAATAGAAAAATTTAAAAATTAAAAATCAAAGAAATAAAGAAATTGAAAAATAAAAAGAAAAGAAAAAATGATAATAAAAAATTAAGAAATAAAAAAATAAAAAAATATTTTCAAATGTTTAGAAAAAAATTATAATGTCAAACAATATACTACATTGTATTAGGTGAGCTTTCATGCGGCAGTATTTATCCCTGGTCGATGATTCTTGCCCAAGAAAATTTGCTGAAACCAGACTGAAAAAATATCTGCTGAAATCAGCAGCTAACATCTGTAAATTTCAGGCTTAGAAGAGATCAGGCCTTAAGTCCCAAAATGTGAATTGCGTGCCAACGGCCGTCATAAAATGCATCTCTGAGTCTTCTCAGTTTTGATTCCCAGTTGATCCAGTCGGACACTGACAGATGGTTGTATGGTATACATCAGGACCCTATGCCTGTGTGCGCGGGGGCTCTGGAGATGCCTGCTTTATTGGTTTCAGCGCGCGGTTAATGTTTGGCGCTCACAGATTCCTGGGCGCGGTATTCCCCCGGGCGCGCCAGCCTGATTGAGGTGTTGTTACCGCCGTTGTATCAAAGGTAGAGGGAAAATCCGGTACATATGGGGAGAGAGGCCGTGACAAATTACACTGGGGGAGGTACGGGAGCGGCATGCATGATGGCTGCGTCATACTCTGCTGCAGTCACAGTCAGTATAGATATGTCACCACATCAGATATCCTGAGGCCACACCAATTTGATTTGTTGGTTCTTGGATTTTTTAAGGAAAAAACATGAAGAGACAGAGTAAAAAAAATAAAACTAAAAACAATAATAATAACCCAAAATGCAACGATAGGAGCCATGAAGTCAACACAAAAGGCTGGGTTAATATTATCACTTGAGATCACTAGGGAAAAGAAAAAAAGATAATCCCTACCTACCAACCCTAATCCTTTTCAGGATTGAAACAGTTTTTTCCCTAGGCCGCACTATGACCCTGTTCATACTAGACTTATATAAACCGGTTGAAACCGCTAAATAATTAACCCGGCAAAAACCCGTCGCGTTCACACCAGACTTACAAAACCAGTTTTTCAAAAAACCTGTCCAGCGAATATCCGGTTAATCGGCCATTACCAGGCTCCTCCAACATTTTTGTTTCGGTAGAGACCTCAATAGAGCCCTCCCCCCAGCTTTTTCGAATTCGGCGATCAACTCCTGCTCTCCAAAAATACGTATCGGGAGCGTCTTGCCCACCGACCAGGTTGCGTTGGCTGATTCCATCGTAAAAATGAAGAGAAACCGTGGCAAAACAGTGGAAACGGTCTAAACAGCGCGATCAAACAAGCTTGGAGGTCGCACACGGCCAGGATGCTGACCCCGTGACCCCAGAATTATGACGCAAAAACCGGTTCAATAAACCCTTAGCGTTCAGACCAGGTTTTTCGGTGGAAAAAACCCTCAAAAACCACCTCCCGAGGTGGTCTTTGAAAATCGGATTTAAACCCCTAAAAAACCGGTTAATTTGCGTTCACACCAGGTTAAATAAAAACCGGTTTTTGAAAAACCGGTTGAAACCGCTAAATATAAGTCTGGTATGAACAGGGTCTATATATACATGTATGTCACCACATCAGATATCCTAAGACTGATACCATAGCTCCAGGGTGGAGAATATTTGTGGAAACTGGCTGCAGTTCTGGATCAGGCCATTCATAATGTCTGCATCACACAGCATATAAGAACACCTTGCCCAAGCAGGAAAGAAGATTTTTGCCTGGAACACTCCTCTCAATCAGGCCATGTTGATTTGATTATATGGATGACATCCGCGCGCATGAATTTTCGACCGTTTCCTCCCCCCAAAAAAGTTTTCAACCATACTGTAAATCGTGCAAAACCGTTGCTAAATGAGCAAAAATATACCATAAGTTGCAAGGAAAACATTTAGAAACGATACCAATGTTGTAGAATGCCAAAATCAAAGGAAAAAAGACAAAAATGTAAAGAAATGAATTCGAAGTGTAGATTATTCGCCATACCATACTCTGTGTCATTTGTTCAACCTTCATGACCACGTAGATTTCATAGTGAAAGCAACCTTTTTTTTTTTGCAAACTTTTTTTTTATTCGCACGCGCGCATCAGTTTTGGGGTTCCCAGAGGATGTCATCCATAGAATCAAATCAACATGGCCTCACTGAGATTTTAGGGATTGTGCAGGTCACTGAAACCCTTTCCACTGCAACAGGGAAAAATATGCTCAACTCTCTATGTAATAAGAAGTACTGTTTGAAATACAGCAACCTTCTGGCAATCAGCAAATGCAACTGAAAGCCATTGACAGGTTTGTAGAATGATTCTAATAACTTAAGGCATTGAAAGAATTCTTGTGAGCATATAGGGGGATATGAAGCATGTCGGCAGAATGTACTTCACCTGCGTAATGTATTGTGTATAGTACTTTGGTAGAACGTATCATATACATGTAAGGCCACTCCAATTTAATTTGTTGGTTCTCGGATTTTTTCAGAAAAAATATGAAGCGACAGGGTGAAAAAAAATAAAAATGAAAACAGGTCTAGGCATCCTATTATAGGCTTAAATGCTACAAAATGAGCCATGAAGTCAACACAAAAGGCTGGGTTAAAATTTAAACATTGAATTTTGAACTTTTAATCAAACCACTACTGCAATGATAGATGGGAAAACTGTAACAACTAGGAAGAAAAGGACTTTCCTCAACTGTTGGGGGGCAAAACATGAGCATTTTTCAGTTGATTCAGGACCAGAATCAATTTTTTTTTTTGCAAATCAGAAAAAAACGAAGAGGCGAATCCGAGAACCAACAAATTAAATTGGTGTGGCCTAAGGTCGTATTTGTGTATTATATGGTAAGCATCCCGTCTGAACTTTCCAAAGGTTGTGTCGGAAAATATGTCGTCTGCAACGGGCAAAATTCTGATGCAACATTGACCAAAAAAATCCTACAAAAAATCGTGGTTTCGTGCAGATGCAGTATGTTCTGCCGACATGCTGGTATACGACAACAACATACACAGTCATGTGACTTAAGGCACGTGATAGTCACATTGCTCTTGCACCGTTATGTCATAATGAAATCAATTTTTTTTACATGAATATGCAAAACTCTTGTGTACACCATAATCCCCAAACACTTACCTAGTCATCTTCACAATGAAGAGATTTAATCCACAAGGTACATGTACATGTGGGACAGGCAGGATTAGGCGAAATTATTTATGTACAGACCTGGACCTGGATCTTAAGTGTACCTGTACCTGAACAATTTGAAAAATTGAGGAAAATGTGACAAGTTAATACTATTGCTTTGAAATGAAATTTATATAAATCCTCAATACATACAAAGATGACCATCTACCACTAAAAAAAAAGAAATGACAACAAAATACTTTTCTATAAATTTACGATGTGATTTTTGTAAACTCAGTTGATGGATTAACATTTGGTGTTTTACAAATACATGTATCATAGTGTCCATGTTTAAGGTGTGTCCTATGATAAACATGTTTCAAATGAGAAGAAGGCAGAGAATTGATGTATTTTCCACAGAGATTACCAACTTATCATGGAATGATACACGTACATGTAGTTAGATTATAACTCTACAGGCCTGTGTTATATTGAGACAAACAGCTGTGGGAATAGTGCATACAGTCAATGTTATCATCACAACATAGTCAATATTCATTTCAAGGCTCATGCAATGTTTTTATCATTTCTGTATTTTGGCATAGTGCACTAAAGGTTTATCTTTCAAATGTTCATGGAATTGTCAACAGGGACCTTTCTTATTTCGTGATAACAATTGTTACTCTAATTGTTTTGCAGATTTTTCCTTTATTTAGATTTTCCAATTGAGAGAGCTAGTCGTTCTTTAGCAAATTAATTGAGAAAGTAGCATTCAAATGGCCTTTAAAAAGCTACAAATGTTTTAATAGCCACTGCAAGTGCATATTTGATAATCATGCCTTAAATGGTGTTAGTATCTGATTTCATCATCAAGCCATTTAGCTGCTTGCCGCTGATTGGTTGAAGAACAGCAATTAGCATAAATGAATTAGTAAAGCCTATCCATGGGCACCTGACACCTGTAAGATACAGACTGGGGTGATGTGTTTTACTGGGACAGGTGCTAAAGTGTTCCCTCAGCAGGTAGTAATGGGACAGCCAGAAGCCCCAACTCCTCCATAATTAATGTAGGGTGTCATCTGTCTGGGGCTAATCGGCGGTGGGATGGTACGTTAATGTCATTATGTGGGGAGATGAGTCATGGATAGGTCTGTATACAACACCACAAAAATCTTTTTAGGTACAGGTACAAATGTACTGGTACTGTACCTGAATAAGATTCTTCCTAATATCCTTATTTTGTAATGTAAAAACATACAATTTTCACTACAAGGACAAAACATGATTGTATCAATGTCGAAACTATCACCATTTTGATTTGAAAAGAGAGTAGAGTCTTAGCATGAGATACTGAAGGTCAAAATAAACATTTTGTTTACTGTTCTTGTCATTAATGTAGACCACAGGATCTCCCCTTGGTGCTGATTGGTCACATTGGCTCTCATTGGAGATAGAGTAACGTGGTCTGTCCTTGGTGCTGATTGGCCAATGTTGTAGGCACATTTACATGTGCACAATCTGTCCTTGGTGCTGATTGGTCAGAATGGAGCATGTAGTTTCTTGTTGCTGATTGGCTGTCAATCAGCATGTTGCTAGCAGCATGGTCTGTCCTTGGTGCTGATTGGTATAGAAAGCACAAGTTGTACACATGCTAGCATATGTCCTTAGTGTCGATTGGCTGTGAATTAACACGTTGCTAACCTTTTTTAAAATAGCATGATCTGTCCTTGGTGCTGATTAGCTATAGTAAATCCTCATGATATTTCTTCTAATATGTTAGCAAAAGTTACTTCAAAGAAGAATGGGCACATGCTGTCATCCTACTCAAACTACAGAAACATACAAACACACAGCTCAGCCACCCAAAACAATACTTCCAAACCTGGGACTAAAGTACTGCTTTCCCCCTACTTGTCAGGCACAACGAGGAATAACTTTGCTGGTAAGAAGGTTGTGAGGCTGGAGTATGAGGCATATGAGGCCATGGCAGAGACTGAACTCAGGAAGATCTGTGCACAGATCAGGGAGAAGTGGGAGGTGGAGAACATCGCTGTGTTCCACAGGCTGGGGTAAGTAACTCTGACATTAGGCCACACCTACAATGTAGTTAATTGGTTACGCTCGCTTCGTTTTTTCTGATTTTACAAAAAAAAAAAAATTCGAGTTCTAAATCAACCCCAAAATGCTCATGTTGTGGCCCAAACTGTTGAAGAAAGCTCGTTGTCTTCCTAAAATTGTTACAGTTTTTCATCTATTAATGCATCGGTTTGATCATTGTTTGAATTATAAACCAGCCTAGTAAGTTGACTTCATGGCTGGTATCGTAGATTTTGGGGCTATCAGTGATTGAACTTTTGCTACCGCGAACATAAAGTGATTTATGGTTTCTTCCCCACCACCCAGTTTGTCTTTTCTACAAATCACAGATACTGAACCTAGCACATCTATCTGATGTATATATTGTCCCTGCCGGGGAGAGAATGGGATCAATCCCATGTTGTGAGAGGAAATCTCTTCCCGTCCGAAAGAATTATGTGCCGAGGCGGCCATCACCTAACGTTAGCACATATTGGTCACACACGCGGGGTCCAAATGGCGATTTAACTGCCACAAACCTGTGAGACAGTCTACATTTCCGCAGTATGCAGGGCACTAAGTGTAGCTCTCTTGTGAACAGCCCATCCGCAACTACAAGGTAGATATATGAACTTGCACGGGCAGCAAGCCATAGACTGGAACTTAATGTACACTCCAGATTAAGGATGTCACATTGGGGAAGATCTGTTGAAGTGATGTGTGGGCCAAGTTTGATGTTACAGCGTGCTTGTTTAAATGTACAGAGGCTACAATGTACATGACTGTATGGATTTTAATGGAACTTGTGACTGTATTTTAGTTTCAAGATGACGCCATTTGTAAGCAATCCATCCACTAGCTTTTTGAGTTATGCTATTCAACCACAAATAGAATAATCATCATACTAAAAACAGAACCTCCTTAGACAACGGTTGACATGTGGGAAAAATGTCACTACAGTGACAATGTTGCATTCAAAATCTTCAAAACAATGTTGTTAGAGAAGGCTTTGGTGATGATGCCTTAGGCCACACCAATTTAATTTGTTGGTTCTCGGATTTGCCTCTTCATTTTTTTCTGATTTGCAAAAAAAAAAAAAAAAGATTCTGGTTTTGAATCAACTCAAAAATGCTCATATTTTGCCCCCAACAGTTGAGGAAATTCCTTTTCTTCCTAGTTTTTACAGTTTTTTCCATCTCTCAATGCAGTGGTTTGATTAAAAGTTAAAAATTTATACTTTAAATTTTAACCCAGCCTTTTTTGTTGACTTCATGGCTCATATTGTAGCATTTGGGGCTATAATAGGATGCCTAGACCTGTTTTTATTTTTATTTTTTTCGCCCTGTCGCTTCATATTTTTTCTGAAAAAATCCGAGAACCAACAAATTAAATTGGTGTGGCCTTATGTTCGAATGTATCTGGTAGAAAACTGCTGTTGCTACCTTTTAAACATTTCCAGCAGGTGCTGGAAGAATTTGCATATCTATTTGGTGGAGTAATTATAACAAGCACCTGCTAACAGGTGGCTAATAATCCCATCATATTTCTTGGAGATCGTCAACATTATCCTCAGTCAATATCTGTATTACTGTATAAGATATTGGAATTTCACTGTCACAGTGCACTGAAATATTGTATACGGTGTCTTTCTGTACTGGTGAGTGGGAAAATGGTATGGATTGAATTGGATCATAAATACTTTATTTTATTTCAATCATTACTAAAACCAAATAATCCACATGCACATGCATGTATCACAAAATCAAATGAGAATTTGTTAATGTGTGTACAATGTACCTATTCGTAACTGATTTCAATGCCCATGTAATGTTTTCATCTTTATCCAGTGCTAAATTTTCATCTTTGCAATTGCATGTTGTCAGTCATAAAATAAGAATATGATTCATTACTTAAGTGTATTATGTTATTTATGTACACTGACAGTGGGTATTTCAGACTCATGCGTAAAACTTATAGTAAGGCCACACCAATTTAATTTGTTGGTTCTCGGATTCGCCTCTTCGTTTTTTTCTGATTTGCAAAAAAATTTGATTCTGGTCCTGAATCAACTGAAAAATGCAAAAGTTTTGCCCCCAACAGTTAAGGAAAGTCCTTTTCTTCCTAGCTGTTACAGTTTTTCCATCTATCATTGCAGTGGTTTGATTAAAAGTTCAAAATTCAATGTTTAAATTTTAACCCAGCCTTTTGTGTTGACTTCATGGCTCATTTCATAGCATTTAAGCCCATAATAGGATGCCTTAGATCTGTTTTTATTTTTATTTTTTTTCGCCCTGTCGCTTCATATTTTTTCTGAAAAAATCCGAGAACCAACAAATTGGTGTGGCCTAAAACTTAATTATAGTACCCCCGGTAGAAGATTTTCTCTGCATCCGTACAATATCTTCAGATGGATGGGTGTGACCCTCTTCACCTCTAACACTGATAGTGACAGTTGCTGTCAGAGATAAGAGACTAACAAATTCCTCACAGTCCAGTTCTGCAATCTTCTACGGGTAGTTTTTTTTCCAAGAGACGGTGATTTGCCGTGTTCGGTGGCTCCCGATCACGTCAAGAACTGATGGGACTCAGCCATTAGCAACGGATGGGTGAGTGCCCCTCCTGGCTAAGCCTGGCCTAGGAGTAGACGGATACACTTCAGACAGTTAGTGCTTCCTCTGGCTAAGGGAAATGTACTCTTAAAAGGATTCTGGACAGTTTTATGTAAGCCAGGGATGTTGGCTTTCAGAGGGAATTGTATCATACTTTCAGGGGAAGCTGCAGCGAAAGCAGTATTGAAGAAATGAAGTTTATCACAGGAATGGAAAAGTTAGAAATAGGAAGACTTCTGTGAGTTATAAGTTTCATCAGGTTGGTGTATACATGTATGTAAACAGTTCTTTGCTGCACAAACACATTTGGGGTTTACCTGCCAAAATTTCAGTAGTCCGTCTGCCTTTCTCAGTACTGAGTGAATGTGGCCCTTACATGTACAATGCTTTTGGCACAATATTGGGAATTTCCTCCTACACAACCGGTAATGTCTCTCACCTGGGCTTACGTTTCGATGTCAGTCAGACATATTCACCAGAGATTCTGACTGAAGTACTGCACCAAAAAATAAGGAGTCATCCGCACTTTGCTAGACCGGTGCAATACAGTGATGACAAAAGATCAAGACAAGGAACTAGAGATACAACATGTGATGAGGGCCCTCACACATTATGGCTACTCTCCATGGACGTTTAAGAAAGTGGAACAACAGAAGACAGCCCCAAAACCGAAGGAAAAGAGCAAGAAACAAAAGGATAAAGCAAGGGCTATGGTCTCCTTTTGGGTCTCCTAGTGGCTTTCCTCAGGACTGCAATATAACCTCCAGATTTCACATTTTATCTCAGTCTGTCTTACTATAACTGTAACAGATTGTAATAGTTAATAATAATATGATTTCTACCTCAAATCCAGATGGTGATTACTAGTATGCATGTCTAACCTTCATATAAATGATATTAATGTATATTAATAGTGCACCATATGGAAGGAAAGATTTGGTTGAGTAACAAGACCTTGAAATGTAATTTAAAAAAAAAAACTCTGCATCACACAAAATTTATGTATTTTCCTAAAATAAAATTTCTTGCTGGCGTCTGTCCTTGGTACTGATTTTGATAGCTGATGATCAGAAATCTTTTTGATTCTTTCATTTCCTAACTGAACAGTCAACATCATAGATAATGTTAACAGTCATATATTTCTAATGTCGGATGGCAGGACATACTATAATGATGTCAACATGCCTTTTGATAGAGCTCATCCCAACCATATTATCATGTCCTTGATTCTGATTAGTCACATTGGCACTCATTGGAAATAAAAGTAGTATGGTCTGTCCTTGGTACTGATTGGTCAAATTAGCCAACATTGTTAGCACATTTGCACAATCTGTTCTTCTTTCTAGTTGGTAGACTTTCAATGGGTAAAAATTAAACAAGGTATATGTCCCACAGCCTTTTAGGAGCCTTGGGGGCAGTTGGTTGTTGATCCACTGTGTCAGTAGGACATGGAATTACCTCCCCAACAAAAGTTAGATTCCCATTTTCACCTGTGTGGAGTGAAAGGAAAGTCATGTTTGTGCATTCCCAAGGATATGACATCTTATATAATCAGAAATCCTGGCCTCTCAACTCTTTATGTTGCATCTGCTAAGGCCACACTGATTTAATTTTATGGATAACATCTGAGCACACATTAATTTCAATCTGTTCTAGAAAAAGGCTCCTGGGTGCTATCCTCCATATTCCATGGTAGCCAGCAACAGTAGGGAAGCCGGTGGTAACTACAAACTTAAGGACGGTACCTAGGCTACTAAATGCTCCAAGGAACTTGAGGTACAGTGCCGACTCATAAATGCCGCAAAGGCCAGCATGTGCCGGCTTGTCGTAAAAATAACTAATATGTAACTTCACAATACCAGCTTTGTATTACTGTGGTTAAGCAGCGTTTTTTTGGGAGCTGGATTTTTTTAATTTGCCCGTGCGCACTAGTTTGGGGGTCTTCAGAGGATGTCATCCATAAAATCAAGTTAATGTGGCCTTACTCCAGGTCATTGAGGCCAAAACTCTCAATAGAAGCTTTAGGCCACAGCAATTTAATTTCTTGGTTAACGGATTCGCCCGCTTCGTTTTTTTCTGATTTGAAAATAAAAATAAAAATTCAGAATCAACTGCAAAATGCTTATATTTTGCCCTGAACAGTTGAAAACAGTCCTTTTCTTCCTAGTTGTTACAGTTATTCCATCTTCCAGTGGAGTGGTATCATTAAAAGTTCAAAATTCATTGTTTAAATTTTGAACCAGCCTGGTGTGTTGACTTCATGGCTTCTATCATACCATTTTTGGCCATAATAGGATCCCTAGGCCTGTTTTTATTTTTTTATTTTTTTCGCCCGCCCGCTCCATTATTTTTCTAGAAAAATCCGTTAACCAAGAAATTAAATT